TGTCTGTGTATCCTGAATAATGGGTGTTAACAGCTTAGATGCAAGATTGTAAAACATGAGTAGCGAACTTCTGCCCTCCAGGGTCCTCCCATTGTGCTGTAAGCCTGTAATTAAGACCTCCTACCCCCTTCAAGAAATGACATTTGACATTTAAAATTATATATATATTTGAATGAATACTGCGAATGTAATCTATGAATACCACAAATGTGATTAATATCATGGGTGTAATTTAAAAAATATATAAAAAAAAAGAGTAAGGTGGAGTAAACCCTTTTCTTCCTACATTGCTTGTAGCCAGGGTGCTTTATTACAGCCACAGAATTATACTACAAAGATCACAAACTCTGCAAAATGAACTCCCGCCTGTTACATCTACTTATTTTCCATTTGATTTCCCATTCCTTTATGACATACCGGAAGGTGGGAGAGAGGCATCTCGGCCTGGTATCAAGCTGTTTTTCTTATCTTTCTCTCCTCTTTCCCTTCCTCAGTCCTAAAATATGAAACTCTGGGACACATCAACAAAAAGCATGAGCAAGACTGTTTTTGTGGTCACTGGCCACCCACATTAAAACTTCTGCTCAGTAGAAGAGAACAAAATCATCCCTGGGAAGTGAGTGATACTTAAGGATCCTCACATTTCTGTGGTCAGATAGCATTGGGACGAGCCTGGGTACCACTCCGTAAATGCACCACAGTGGGCCAGGCTATTGAAAGCCCCCAGGGTATGTGATAGAGTCAATGTAGCAAGATTGACAGTTTGAAATAGCTGGATTTCCCGGGCATGGCTGTGCTTACCCGTAACCCCAACTTTTGGGAGTGTGATACTGGAGGATTGCAAGTTCCAGGGTAGCCTGGGCTACAGGACTTGTGTTTAAGAACAAACAAACAAAAAAGGGGGAAGTGAGGAGACAAAAGAGAAGCTGACTGGGAGGCACTCGGGACTGAAAGAGTCAGCTGGTGCCCTTCTTTGACACTCTATAAAAGTGTCCATCCTTCCATCCTTTTACAAAAGAGAGATGGACAGCCTTGGCGACCAGGGCTGCTGAGTGCCTACTCTTAATATGTGTACAGAGCAAGAACAGGGCACACTGTCTCTGATTTATGGGAACTGATTCTGCTAGGAACAGCAAATGTTCCCCCATGAAAATCCACTTTCCAAATGAACAACTACTGGGCATATGGAAATGCATCCCCAGGCTAGCCCAAGAGTCCCGGAATAGGCAAAGACCTCCCCTGAGAGATTTTGAGTTTCCCACAGTCTTTGTGGAATTCAGCTTTAGTTCTAGAATCTAAAAAAAAAAAAAAAAAGGGAGAACTGAAGCCAGACCATAAACAAGCTCAGAATTCAGGAAAAGGTTTTTTTGCTGGCTTTTGACTTGAATGTGCAGGTCCTCCATGAAAAGATCTGAAAATACAGTCGGGGTGGATACTGGATCTTCTCCAGTGTAGCTGAAGTCTCATCTGGAGCCAAATGTGCAACTTAGTGATTCTGGTGAATAGTAGTTTCATGGAAAAGCCATCAGAATAGCACACACATCTCTTTATATAATTTATTTAAAATTCTTTGATTTCCGGGGCTGTTCCAAATGTAACATTCTTGTTTATAGCCTTGAAGAGGCATGGTTGTTATTTTGAGTGGGTACAGGCAATCTTTTTTTTTTTCCTTGTGAATTACCATCTTTAGGAAATCTTTATTCTGTTGGAAGCTGACTGGCATTCTATTTGTAATTATCTTCTCTCTCTGAAGGTGACCAAATCTTCTCTAACAATACAGGGTCACTATCTTTACGCCTTCAGATATAAAGCACAGCAATTTTAGGGTGGAGTTTCTTCCAACAGGAACCCCATTCAGGGAGGAAGCCCACCTAGGTAAAGAGGGCACTGTTCACTTTGCTCTGAGATTGTCCACTGCGATATCAGGGAGGGCCCAGTTTTGTGGGAGGAATTCCCTTTAGCTTTCCTCCAAGCCATGATCCTGTCAGTCCACTGAGAAGTCCTGTAGAGATGCTGACCAGGCCTGGAGGAAGCAGGGATGGGTTCCAGCCTTGAGTTGGCTTCTGGTTATCCGGTTGGTGAGGCTGCCTCCACGGATGCACTCCAATGCTAACACCCATTGTCTTCTAGACTTCAGTGTTCTGCCCTCCTTCCCACAGTGCTGGTATTAGACACACATCAAAGTAACAGTAACAAAGCAGTGCTCTTATTTATGTGAGAGTGTGTGCGTTTTACTCACCTGCAAGCATGCACTCATTTGCTCAGCTAGGGACAGAACCCAGGGACTTGGATGTGCCAGGCAAATGTCCTACCACTGATCTACATCACAGACCTTGGCTTTGGTTCTTGAATAAGACTTTCCCACTGACACCAGAGTGCTACGATTGAAACTACAAAGAAAGCTGTTTTTAGGGCCAGGCTGAAGAATTGAGAGTCTCATCCCACTTTTACCTCCAACTTCCTGGGGACTGGAGTGCCTTTTCAGCCCAATTCCCAGTTTTCAGAGAACAACTCGGGAATCTGAACCAAACATCCAAGATGATTTGTGGTCCAGCTGGGATCTACCCATACACCCGCAGAGCATCTCTACCACTTAGGAGAATGGACTTCTCCCCCTGCATTCCACTTCCCTTTTGCTATTCTTTCCTTTCCTTCTTCTCCTTTAGAGGCGAATGCTAATCATGCTGTATTTGCTGGGAATGGAGCACACATTGTTAATCCCAACACTCAGGAGTCAGAGGCAAGCAGATCTCTATGAGTTCTAAGCAAGCCAGGGCTACACAGTGAGAACATATCATTTAAAAAAAAAAAAAAAAAAAGTCCTGCAGCATCAGATGACCTCTGGGAACTTTTCTACTTCCCAGTAACAGGATTTGGGGGTGATGACAGCAGGAATGAGCTCTGAACCCGCCCAGTGGGAGATCACTAGGTACTGCAACTTCCTTTCCATTTCCTTTTCAAAACAAGATTTAGTCCTTTGTTTCCAAATGAGGAGTAAGGGCATTAGAAGACGCACACTTCCGGAACAAGGCAAGTCTCAGATGTTCATGAGCACAGCCTGGGGACAGTAGAATACAGTAATGCATGGGCTACTTCAGACTCCCAAAAGATCGGGCTTTGGAAGTTTCTACCATTGACAGATAGTGAATGTTTGGAAAGACAGAACTGTTTAACCTGTCTGGGACATTACATGACATATACATGTATTGAGACCATCACTGGACCCCTCATTCATATGTACAATTGCATGTTTTGTGTCTAAGTTTAAAATTCAGCTTACTTTGTAAAATGTCACATGAAAGTGAAGTGAATAGCAAACACCTCTGCAGAAGCTTCTCTGCCCCCCTCGATGGCAACATTACCATCAAACTGTCATCTGGAAACAGCCGTTCTGGATTCCCACAGCTTTGTCGGTTTCTTTCATTACTCAACAGAGGAAAATGTCTTCCGGGTCTTCCTCTACACGACTCCTCGTCCCCCACCAGTCTGATGGTAACTCTGGGCTCTCAAAGCCTAAAAACTACCCCTCTATGTTACATGGCCATTTTGATACAAAAAGTAGCTTTCTAAGCAAATCTACATTTTCTACTGGGCTGCCAGAGCCAGAATTGAGGGGGGTCATCTTCTCTTGTAATGGGTTGAAGCTTGGTTTAATGGTATGGGAGGAGTTGGCAGGTGTATTCACAATCTCACCCCCACCCCAAATCTTGCATGCTATAAATACAAGAAAGTATGCAAACTTTAATTTAAAAGAACAGCAGCAGCAGTAGCAACAACAACAACAAAAAACAGACCAACCATTGCCTCTGGGTGGAAAGGGAAAGGTTACACACCCCCAAAACCTCTGGGGGTGATGGATATGTTCATTCCTTTGACTGTGGTGGCATCACAGTGTCTGCAGTCAGCATATATCAGGTGGTACGGTTCCAATATGTGGCTTTTATTATATAACAGCCACATCCAGCTTTTTTAAAAGCATAGCAAAACACTTTAAAATTCTTGAAGACCTGGAGATGAAAAATGAAGGGAGAGCAGGCACCTAAAGGAACAGTGATTACAGCATCATTCCTTCTTTTATAATATTCATTCTGTTCAATTGCTTACTTTATCTAACATGAGAGACAGATAGAAGAAAGAGATAGATCCCAAACAGGACTCCACATTATTTTACCAAAGATTCAATATTCTTTTCCGTACAACTAACTCCTGTTTTAGAAGAATAGATAGAATAGATAGAAACAAAATTCATGGAAACCAGGAACATTTTGCTATTCTTTTTCCAGTCTGGAAAATAACTAATATATGTGCTTATAAGAAAAATTTTAACTCATGAAGAATAGTGTTCAAGAGGAAAGTGAATGGAGTAGTTTCTAACACTGAGTGACTGAAATTACACACAAATATGGCCTGTTTCACAAACAGTGACATGGTGCCAAACAACAGAAGCGTATATCCACTCTTCCACTATGTTAGGACCAGAGGTTAGAGAGACAAGTCAGTCACTTTGAAAAGCCAATGGAAGAGTAGGACACCAAGTTCTCTTACCCACGCTGCCTGTACCACAGAGCCCTATCTACTCAAGGTGCGGGACATGCTAGTTCATCACAGCGATTTTAGAAACATCCTCATCCTTTAGATCCCAGGCTAGAAGAATGAAGCCAAATCCTTCTTACACAATTTTCCGTTCTCTCTTTCAAAAGCAGATGCTGCAAAGAAGGTTTTTACATCTCACAGTTTTCACAGCTCTAAAGATGATGTTAATAAAGCTGGTTTCTGCTTGGGAATGTGCCATGTAATAGACAACCTTCAAAGTGTACATTTTACAAAATAAACTCAACTAAGATAGATTCCTGGTGTGACATACAGTCTTTCCCAAAAATCCATGGAGCCTTTGAGGGGGAAAAAAAAAACCCACAAAAACAAACCAACATTTTACTCAGCTCTATGGACACATTTTTTCCCCTCATATTTTCCCCAAAAGAACATTTCTAGAGCACAAAGTAGATTCATAATGGTTTAATTAGAGACATTTTATATATCCTGAACATAATTGCTCTCATAGAAATAAACTAATATTTTGTACACAAACTTCATTTACTGTGCCACATTCATGAGAGACTGCGCCAAGTGCAAACATCTGTTACTCGCCCTGGAGTGTGGAGCTCTGTCTGCTACCACAGTGCTTCGTTACCTAGCGTGACAGAGACCGGGATTAGACAAGATGGAGAATTAAACCCACAAAAGAGTAACAAAAACGTTCTTTAGTATTAAGCAAAACAGGTTCATCAGGTTTTCTTCCATAGAACTTTCCCTCCCTCTCCAAGCTCTTTGGGATAGGGTCTAATGACTGGTAAGTGGTCATGCAGAAAAAAAAAAACAAGGCCAGAGCACAAAAGATTTGGGAAATTAACAATTTGGCATCTCTTGTACCAAAAATCCCTTGGTGTCCCTCAGCCGGGAGATTACATTTGGTCCCTGCTCTCACACAGAACTGACATGTACCACTAAAATAAACTTAAATGAAGTTTATTTTCTTACAACTACCTGGGGAATATACGGATAGCACTTTGCAGTAATCCATGAAAAATAATGACAATTAAAAATAAGAAAACACCAGCAACACTGAAGAGGAGATTTGCACCTTGGTTAGCAGCACTGAGCATCGAAATGGTTGGTTTCCCGGGGAGCCTCTGCAAATGCTGGCGTGTGCCGTAGATCAGTCCGTTCTGGTCAAGCCTCGGGTTACTGTCACTAGTCACTGCTTTCCCTAACGACCCATCCCACTGGAGGGGAGGGAGCTTGACAATAAAGCACGGGAGAGGAACACAGACATACCAAGCCCTCCTAGGTCCTTTTAAGGAAAACAAAACAGTGCTCCCCCCAGCAAATATAAAGGTTTATGTAAAATTCCAAGGAATACATCACGTTTTATCAAGAAAATAAACTAACACTCTACCCTTTTGCTATTCAGATTCAAAAGCTGGAATGTCACATGAATGAAATTCCAACGGGATTATAACTTTATAACCACCCTGTGAAGACAAGGAGGGGAGGACTGTGACACCAATACAAGCCAGTGTCCAATGGGAGGTGAGCTAATCGGGTGTCACAGGAGATTCTGAAGTCTACCGAGGATGACTTGATGGTCACAATCAGGGAATCTGAAGGTCAAAACAGATTCAAAATGGAGGATACCGCGACATGCGATTGGAATCAACATGACACTTCTCTCATTTTCATCTAAAATCTAAATTAGAGTTTCAGGGTAGGCCTGACCATCATTTACTGTTCATACTTGTCATCTAACTTTATTATCTATCTAGTGAAGGCTTTATCTAGTGTTTCTCCTTTCTTCTCAGATAACTCTAACGCTGGGCACAGTCGTTTCTTCCCCAAGGGTCCTGGGTCTTCTGCCACTTGTTAAACTGACGGTCCCTATTATCTTTTGACCATCTCACCTTCCCAATCCCTCCTTGTCACACCTTTCTTCTGCAGAACTCTTTTCTGATTAGGTCATTGTGAGGCAGTTTAGGAAAGCTCGACTGAGCACAGGCAAGACCCATTTTACATCGGACTGTGAGCTTTACCAAGGGAGGAGAATCCATTTCTGTGAGGAAGTCAACAGGATTCTAATTAAGTTCTAATTTAAATTAAAATTAGACATAACTGAAGGTGCACAGATAGAAGAGGATCAGGTTGAATGAAGAAAGACTTAGTTCATGACAAAGGGGAAGATTTTAACAGTCGCAAGGCAAACCACCGAAGACTTCAAACGGGAGTTCAAGAAATCGAGGGGCAAGCGCATGGAGAAGGCTGTGTAAGCCGAAGCTCTGACTTAGGGAACTCATAGGGGAGAGAAAGTCCATTCTAATGAGTGCCAGCTGTGTGCATGATGTATGGACTTAGATGAAAGACGAATTTTAGGATAACTAAAATACTGCTCCATCGAGTGGAAATTCTGAGTTTTCCTCCATGTTCTCAAAAGCAGTGCTGGGTTTTATGGTGTATTAGCCGTTATTAGGAATGCTTTGCTGAGGAGAGATAACACCAACATTGATGCCTCTTAACAAAATAGAAAATGTCACTAACCTTGTTATCAGAGTCTAAAATAACACTTAAATTCAGATGGTAAGGATCTAAGAATAAAACTCTAACTGACAACAAAATAGATGTAATTTTCTAATTCACTAGGAAGCCCCCTAAAGAGATTTATTTTTTAAACATACAGGCATTTATAGAGTCATGTACGTGCAGGAATTTAGAAATGCCAATGCAAGCCTCTGTGTGCCCGTGGAGGAAAAACAAAACCTGAAGAATTCAAAACACTTCTTGCCTGCCCCCACCTTTGGAATAAATAACTTTTTTAGCCTAAGCTTTTTTTTTAAATTTTTTATTTCTGCCCTTAGCAAGGTTGAGAATTAATATGTAACCATGTATCATATGGAACTACTTGACTTTAAAAAAGGAAAATGATTTGCATAGGATCCATTTACATAATGCAAATAAGCTTTTGTTCTCTGTGGAATCTGAACAGTGCCAAGGAGTGGGCAAGAGTCAGGGATGTGCTATATGGCCTTGTGTGCTACTCAAAAACAGTACTTTATGGTACCAACCAGCCCAGGTAGAAACTCCAAACGTTTGTTACTTCCTAATGAAGTTTTAACACTAATGACAGGTGTCCAAATCAGATACAGCATTGCCAAATACCAGGGCACACCGTGAGGTCAGAGGGAGGAGGGATGGTCTACTATCTGGCCACCTGGATGCGGAGATCTACTTAGTGTATGTCCCTTAGCCCGTAAGAGGGTAAGACCTTTAGATCCACCATACTGTAACTCACTTAGCAAAGGAAAGTGTGTTTCTTTATTTAATACTCTTAGATCAGCTGAATCAATGTTCTGACCAAGAAAGTGAATCCACGCCAGGATTCTAATGATCTGTCCTTCACATACACCTATGAGCACACATTTAAAAAAAAAACAAACAACAGTTTATTGTACATCTTTGCATTTCTTTAAGGCATGAACAATGTTGTAAAGATGGAATGGGTTTCCGGAAGCATCACGTCTATTTTGACGAGGCTGGTACAAGCACACCACATCAAAAAAAAACACACTTCAAGTCTGAACTAACCGACCATTACGGCTCAGGAGCTCCTAAGGTTGGGGATGACCTTTCAGACAGCAGACCAAACATGTAGTTTGTATGTCATTGTACACTCCCCTGATCCACCTGAAGCACCGGTTACAGTTCGATCTTCTAGATCAACTCTTCTGCCTTTGGACTTTATACTCCCTTCTTCTAGTCTGCTTTCCGAGGAGGGCGTGGGTTTTATTTTTTTTTTTATTGTATTTTATTTTTTAAGGAATATGGTTGCAGCAGAACAGAAAGGATCCAAAAGTGGTTAGGAGCCTTGTCTAATGCACTTTTGAAAATCCATTATAAAGATGGATAGAAAAGCAAAGGGGAGGTTCTCAGTCGACCCAGAAACCACGCGGAGCTAGAAGAAACATAATTGTGCATAGTTATTTATTCATTCGGAGTGTGGTATGTTGGCTAGCTCTACGTCTCCAGTTCACCAAAGAACAGGGCTGTCTACTTTGCTAAACCCAGGGTCCTTCCGAAGCTCCCAGTAGGTGTCATTAGAGACCCAGGCTTCTCTTTGATTTGCATCAATAACTTTTCTGTGAAAATATGAAAATCACCATTAGCCATAAATCACATCAAGGTCAGCTGATAACTCAACTCTCTCATATATATGCATATATAACATATATGGTAATATAATAATAATACATATTATACATAGTTATGTGCTATCTGCCAATAATTGATAAGCTGGCAATGTCTGGCCAGAAATAAAGTAACTCTTGTCATTATATGATTGAAATAAAAGCAAGACGGAAAAAGACTATGGGCAGGAGCTAATTCCCTCTGATTCCTTCTAGGTAAGAAAGCAGAGAGGCCCAAACACAGCTCCATAAGCACTGTAAGGAAGAGCTGCCTTCCAGGAACAGAGCAACATCAGTGGCTGCAGAAGCCACCCGGAGGCCCCTATCTGAAGGGCACACTGCAGACCTCTGACAGGCACACTGCAGATCTCTGATAGGCACACTGCAGACCTCTGACAGGCACACTGCAGATCT